GGGCTGCCCGCTCAGGCGCCCCCCCTTCCAGATGAAGATCACGGAGGCGGACCTGTGGATCGGCACCTACGGCCGCCTCTTCCAGAAGCTCTGCTCCTCCAGCGCCGAGATCCCCATCGGCGTCTACCGGACCCAGAGCCACCTCTTCTCCACGGAGGTGGGTGGGGCGGGCGGGGCCCGCGGAGCCGGACAGCCCCACTTCTCTGTGCTCAGCGTCTCCGTTGTAGTTGGGGGTCTCCATTGTAGTTTGGGGTCTCCATTGTAGTTTGGGGGTCTCCATTGTAGTTGGGGGGTCTCCATTGTAGTTGGGGGGTCTCCATTGTAGTTGGGGGGTCTCCATTGTAGTTGGGGGGTCTCCATTGTAGTTGGGGGGTCTCCATTGTAGTTGGGGGGTCTCCATTGTAGTTGGGGGGTCTCCATTGTAGTTGGGGGGTCTCCATTGTAGTTGGGGGGTCTCCATTGTAGTTGGGGGGTCTCCATTGTAGTTGGGGGGTCTCCATTGTAGTTGGGGGGTCTCCATTGTAGTTGGGGGGTCTCCATTGTAGTTGGGGGGTCTCCATTGTAGTTGGGGGGTCTCCATTGTAGTTGGGGGGTCTCCATTGTAGTTGGGGGGTCTCCATTGTAGTTGGGGGGTCTCCATTGTAGTTGGGGGGTCTCCATTGTAGTTGGGGGGTCTCCATTGTAGTTGGGGGGTCTCCATTGTAGTTGGGGGGTCTCCATTGTAGTTGGGGGTCCGGTCCACGTGCCCCATACGTGGGGTACCTGGTGGGGCCCCTGTGCCTCCCCAGAACCGCAGTGGGCGGCCTGCCCTGCAGATGCCCATGAAGGGCTCAGGCAGAGTTGCGGGGAGGGCACCCCCAGGTACCCAGGCTGCCCCTGGTTTCCTTTGCAGCCCCACGACCTCAGAGTCCAGGTGAGCAGCCCCTTCACGCGTAACCCCGAGGCGTCCTGCCGTCTGCGGAGCCGGCCTGAGCCAGACCCACCTGGCCCGGGAGGTGCCGGCCCTGGGCAGCACCAGGGAGCTGGTCCTGGGACGTGTTGGCCACGGAGCAGCTCCGAGCTCAGGGCGTCCCCTCCTGTACAGATGGGGAAACAGGCCCAGGGAGGGGAGCCCAGGTCGCCGAGCCACACGTGCCACCTGCACGTCGTGTGTGTGGCCCCATCCCGGCGGGACCCACCCTCCCTGTCCCCAGCCCCCGGATGGGGGTCCCCACCTCACCCCTAGAGCCCCACCCATCCACTGAGCCATGCACAGTCCCTGTGCTTCCCAGTCCACCGTGCTCTGGTTTCTCCTGCCCCACAAAGTGGAGAAACTGAGGCAGAGAGGTGGGGCCCCTCCATGGCAAAGTCGGGACACGCAGGGCCCAGACGGGAACCCTGACACCAAGGCCCAGAGGTGAGGGTGCTGATGGCAGACAGGCCTACAGCCAGGGCGGGAGCCTCTGGGGCTTAGAAGGGGGCTCAGCCTGGCTCCCCCCAGATGGAGAAGGAAGGCACTTGTGTCCCTGGGCCCTGTGGTCCCCCACAGGAGGCTGGGGCTGTCCTCCCGTCAGCCGACTGGCTCCCCAGCTATGCCCGCTCCCCAACCCTGCACGCCCCTCCGGGTTCCTCATCCCTCCCAGGCCCTGCACC